TTATATTTTTAGTAGAGACGGGGTTTTAGCATGAAAGCTTCTGGTAAGAAAAATGAACCAAAGATTCAGATGCTAAAAGGAACGAAGAAAAACAGGGAACACAAAATATAAATGAAATAAGTCAGGAAAAATAAAAATAGGCAAACAAGAACAAACATAAAAGAAACAAGGTGACAGTAAATGGCATCTGAATTTTAAGAAGAAGCAACACACACCAGCTTAGTAGCAATTTACCTTTAAGTATGGCTCTCTCTGGCCTGAGGCCCTAGGAAATTATATGAGGAGGCCTTTCCTTCGGAATTATTATAATGGGGACATCAGGTTAAAGCAAACACCAAAAGCAGTCATATTCCACCTCTTCCTCCTTCCCTTTCTCCTTCCCTTCCTCTTCTTTTTTTTTTTTTGAAAAGGTTGGCATTAGGGGTTATGGGAACTGGGTGGAGACAGGGAAGTGGGCTAACAACTAGGGGAAAGTTGTACAAATTTGTATTAGCAATGAGAAGGTTTTTAACCATATATATATAAATATATATATATATATAACATATGTATACATAGATATATGTGTGTGTATATATATATATAACATATATATACATAGATATATGTGTGTGTGTATATATATATAACATATATATACATAGATATATGTGTGTATATATATATATACGCACACATACACACATTATCACAATGAAAAAAATAGCAACTAAAAACATTTTTTGCCTCCTTTCTTCCTGCTCAGTCACGAGCAGCAGCAGCCCAGGTCAGGGCAGTCTCTCACATTTCCAGTTCCCTGGAGATGGACCTCTGATCACTGTAGTACATAGATCCTGTCATAGTTATAGGAAACACAGTGACTCACGACCATACCACTGCCACTGTCCCCCGCAGTCCATCAATCAAATGTCAAATTTGAGGCAGCACTGGCTGGGCCCTCCAGGATGAAAGGTGTGGACAAAGAGCAACACACCCTTCTGTTTTCTTGTCTAGGCCCATTTTGTGTGGGTTTAGAATCTAGAAACCGGCCGGGCGCAGTGGCTCAAGCCTGTAATCCCAGCACTTTGGGAGGCCGAGGTGGGTGGATCACAAGGTCAAGAGATTGAGACCATCCTGGTCAACATGGTGAAACCCCGTCTCTACTAAAAATACAAAAAATTAGCTGGGCGTGGTGGCACGTGCCTGTAATCCCAGCTAC